GGCCAAGGACTGGCTCTGAGCTCAACCAGAAACTGCCTGCTCAGCTTGGTAAACAGTAACCCTGCACAGCTTAGCAGCTGCGAGCCTGGGATGGACTACATTGTGCCTAAGGCCCTAAATAGCAGGCCCAGAGCTACAAGGTACAGCTAGAATAACAATGCATGGGACAGTCAGTGTGGGCCCCTGTCCAGACAAGGGCCATATATCCTGGAGCGTGTTCCTCCAGGGAAACTGTCACTGTGAGCATATTCCATCAAGTCACAGCAGTCAAGATCTCTGACATCAACAAGTCCGCCTCACATCTACTGCAACCAGTCTAGAAGGGCCCAGAGGATCAGCACCCGAGCCTCTGCAAGTAGGCGAGGCTACAGTCATACAGACCAAGAACTACTTTATATCAGCTTCTGCAAAGCTTTGTTAGCACAAGCTGCTACTTCTGCTACCCACAAATCCAAACTGCAGCTGCAATTTTTTTTTTTAAAACATTCGGCTAAGAATCAGCTGCTTGGAGAAAATGCATGTAAAATCATGAATACAGCCAAAACAGTTAGGTTTAAATTATAATTCTGTTTCATTTTAGTCTTGCATGTGATCTGTGTTATATTTGCTCAGTTTACAGCAAATCTTTGACACAGGCTACCTGTAGATGTTAACCCTGCCACCCCAAAAAAACAAACAAAAAGCAAGCCAAAAAAGCCAAAACACACTTCACCAGAAGAAGCAACATGTTACTTTGACCTGGCTCCGCAGTGTCTGCACAGATCGGGCACTTCAACAGGGCTTTTTGGAGCTTTTATCTAAAACTGATTCAATCAGCTACTAGAAAAAACTGCCAGAAAAGCCCCATTAAAATACCCAATCTATACAGACATTGGGCGAGTCAGGTCCAGCTAACGAGATGCCTCTTCTGGGCATGTGCTGGTCGTGGCACGAGAGCATACAAAGTTTAAAGTGCTTTTTTTGTGTGGGGGGGGTTATAACATCTGCAAGCAACCATAACAATTAAAACCCAACCCTATTTTCTACCACTTTCTTTTACATCTACAATAAAACTGACAGCAACAGTAAGAATTCAAACCACTCATGGGTTGCAAGAGAAACCCTCCTACAATCAAACAACATGCAAGGTATGGAGTAGATTACAATCAGATGATCTCAAAAGCCATTTGAGGAATGCTAGGTTTAACGACATACTTTCAATACACAAAACAGCAAACCTAGAGGTAAAATAATATAGTAAAGAAGTCTGAAAATATACCTAACCAGGTTTCTCAATTCTGTACTCCACATCCATGCACTTATTTAAGAACTAGACTAAATTTATGTGGCTAATTAAAGCATATTGGAGCAAGTACCACTAAGCATGCTTTTACTTGAATGGTACATGGTGCCACATGTACACCTGTGGATTTTAGCACAGGGTAACCTGTATATAGCCGTCTAAAATATAAAAGCAGATGGCTTACATAACACTTACAAAAAAAATAAATGTACAACAGAATCATCATATTATGCATTAAATAGTATAAATATAGTTATTTTAAAGCAGCTGAATATGCCACAGACAGATGGAGATAAATAAGGCTAAATTTTAAGTGTCTATAATTAATAAAGATAAAAACCATCAGCCCAAGAAATTCAATGAAGATTCCACTAGACAAGATTGTGTCAACACAAACTAAGATGCAGAGGAAGCAAACCAAAATCTAAACAGAAAATATAATTAATTAATGGCTGCAATGAAACAGTCTTCTCCTTGCAAAATCACCTGCTATTCACAATAAGTTATAGCCTACCCCTCAGGGCTTGAAACACAAGCACCTCAGTTTAGACAGTACTAAGAAAATACTGAGAAAATACTTCTAAAATGCTTCAAAAATATGTAGCACCTTACTATTTCAATACTCTGGCTATTAAAATCTTCGAAAGAACTGCATAACCCAGGGATTGGCAACCCCTGGCATGCATAACAGAGCATGGCACACACAGCCATTTTCTTCAGCACACCACAGCCGGCCCAGGCTCTGGGCCACTACTCCCAGCCACGGAGCTCAGACTGCTTGTAGCAGCCAGCCAAGAGGCTGCAAGCAGCCCAGGCTCTGTGGCAGGAAGCAACTGCCCAGAACCCAGGCCTGCTGCAGTCCAGAGGCTGCAAACAGCTGCATGGGACTCTGCAACCCCAGCACCGGCTCTGTGGCAACAGCAGCTGCACATGTGCCTCAAGACAGATGGCGGGACAGAGGCAGGGCCAAGGCCAGGACTGCATTGCCCCAGGCCCCTTCCTGGTCATGCGTCCGGAGGTACGCGCACATTGCCACAGCCATGAAGCCGGTGCCAGGACTGCAGAGTGCCAAGCAGCTGTTTGCAGCCTCCCAGCCGCCTACCACAGCTAGCCTGGGCTCTGGGCAGCTGCAGCAGGCAGTGAGCAGGCTGCAAATACCTGTGCTGGCATCCGGAGCCCCAGCACCAGCTCCATGGCAGTGGCAGGTGCACATGCACCTCACATCACATGGTGGGAAAGGAACCGAAACAGCACAACCCCAGCCCCTCTCCTGCTGTCCACCACAAGGCACACGTGTAGTTGCCAGCAATGAGGAGTGAGCCACTTGCAGCTCCCCTCCTTCTGGCACACCAAGTCAAGGTGTGGGTGGAAGTTATGGTGTTTTTGGCACTCTGGCCAAAAATGATGCTGACCCCTGGCATAACATGTATAGGATAGGCTCATGTAACTTAGGATTTTTCTTCTACTGCGGTTGCGAGAGTTCCATTGGCCTGTTTTCTGCTCCTATGAACCTGCCTTGATAAGATACTAATAGGTACTCTGAAAAAATATTGCTGAAATAGTGCCGCAAACTTGCACATTTGACATCAGCAAGTTACACAAGCATGCCAGAACGTATCAGGTAGTTTTCTGACAAAAAAGATAATGAGAGACTACAAATACCTAATGCACATTAGTCAAGCCTGCATATTAGATTTTTGGGGTTTTTTTCAGACATCCAGAGTTTGGTATGCACAACCCAGCCATACACAACATGGGTGCAGTCAGGGTTGGATACATCTATGGAAGTTAAAGAAAAAAGTCACAGTTTCTGGTTAACTGCACTAGTAATATTTTTCTGATGCCTCTGATCACAGGAACTCTAGTTCTCAGGCCATCCCCTCCATCTTGGCATGGAAACATGTACTCCTAACTCTCACACTGACCATGAGCTGAAAACCACCATGCATCAGCCCCAATCCCTCGCATGGGGTGGTAATTTGTGACTAAAAGCTTCCTTAAAGCAAAGTATCATTTGCAAGCGTTATTCAGAAAGTAATGCCTCCTAGTTTTCATCTCCTAAACCAGCCATGGACAGGATGGGAACTCTTGTTGACTTCTTGCATAAGGGAACAATAAACAGAGGACAAAGTCAAGACCCTGAAGAAACTGAGATGGGGACAGGTCTGATTTGCTGCTTCCGCATGACAACCCTCACCCACACATCAGCTTGTGCACTACAAATGATGAGATCATCATTTAGATGGACTGTGCTGCCCCATCCTCCCTACAGCCCAGAGGATGAAGAATGGACTATGAGAGAAACATTTTTGAGATCATAGCAAAGTGACAAAAGCTGTGCAACAGGGACTGTGCAACAAGGAATTTTAAGTATTGGAATATGTGGCCTTGTTCACCAGGGGAAAGAGGCCATCAACAGAAGGAAAGCACAGTGAAATACAACTGTGTATTCAATGATGTAGTACTCATTTTCTATTCAAGTTAATTTATTTTTCAATGTTTCACTGAGAAAGACATAAGAGGCAGTACTTTCTGACTGATGTTTGTACTTAAACCAAAACCATTTGAGAGAGAGCATAACAAGCAATAAACCAGCCTAAAGGTAATGCTGGTTCTTCCCCGCCCCCCCCTTAATGCTTACCACTCCCTCAATTTGGAAATGCTCCGTTCCTTTAAACTATTTTGGCAAAATCTACAGTTTCTCCTGGGACAGTTGCTGCTCTCCCAGCAGAAAGTCACAAGTGTATAGATGTTCAGTCCTTTTCTCCCAACCTGGGAACACCCATGGTTAAATCACTCCCAGGAGAGTCTGTACACGCTGTGGCTTCTCTAAAAAGAGAACAGCCCTCCAGCACTCCACCTAACCACCAAGGGAGACACTGTGTCACTGGCTGAACTCTGCTGCTCTAACAGGGAGCATAACGTGCACCCTTCACAATCTCTACATTGTGGAAACACAGGCTGACCATAGGCAGCCTGGGTCAGCCAACCAGGGCTGCCCTATGCACTGCAGCTATCTGTTGCCAGGCAGACTAAGGAAGCCTACAGAACATGCTGAGATGTGTTCACAGGCTATACAGTATCAGCATTTGCCAGCTCTCCATTCTTCAGGGACTCAGCATTTGAATGTCAGTACGCACAGCTCTGAGTATTTTTCTACCAGAAGTCTCCCAGAATACTTGAATGCGTGTAAGCAGTCTTAAGACAGCTCTTCACAAATGACATGCACTGTCCTTTCTTTATACTTATATTTTTATCTTCTTTTGATTTCTAGTTCCCAGCCTGGCAAACAATGCAGGTTGTTTGTGGATCTTAGAAACTAAAAGATAACCTCCCAGTATCCTTCTAATATTTATTTAGAAATTCTTGCCTGGGAAGGCATTCTTTTGCCTCTCTTTGCTCTTCCCACAACCTTTATATAAACCCAGTATAAAACTTAAGTTGCAGTGTCTCAGTAACCCAGCTCCATATCAACATTCTTAAAATAATTTCACTGAAGCTCTTACAGTACTCATTTTGCTATTCCATACCATTCCTCTTGTCATGTATGCTTAACCTGAATTTGCTGCTTTCACAGAGAAAATAGCCAAACTACCTGCATGTTAAGAAGTAGGTACCTACAGTTTCCAGCACAGATTAACATTAGTTACAACAAGAAAAGGTGCATCTGAAAAATGAGCAAACGTTTTGAACTTAAAAAAAAAAAAAAGAAACTTACCACTGTAATTGGGTAGAGAGGATTTTGAATTGATAACAGGAGAACTTTGTTTCCACCTGATGGATCATCAGTATTTCCTGGCCGAGTAATCCTTTTGCTTGTAGAATAGTTGAAAAAAGCTTGCTGCCCAGCTATATACACAGGTTCATCTGCTGCAAAAGTGACGCACTTTTTGGCACTTTCTACATTTTCAAACTCCACCAGAGCCTGGCGTTTAAATGGCATCATCATGACATAGCTAGAAAAACACCACAAAAGTTTTCACAATATGTATCATTTAGCAGTCATAAATGACAGGCTAATTTGCTACAAAATTCCCTGGGTAAAAGTGTAAGGGAGACCAAATAAGTAACTATTTATTTTCGTATTCCCTAAATCTAGTACAATGTAGTTTGTACAAAGAGTTAAATCATTTATCAGTAATTTATATAAGCAACAGGTTTTTCAGAATATAAAATGTATATTAGAAGTTTGCAATGTTCATAACTATGTAATATAAATTTACTAACACGCTACAATAGCGAACCAAAAATTTTACTTCCAATTCAAATTTAAAATATTTTTATTTCACCTAAGTAAACCACATTGAAATGCAAATTACAAAAAGATCAAGCTGTCAATAAGATATCATGCCAAAAAACACATTACAGAGGAAGAGTAGCTTTATGCTAGAGGTAAAAAGAAAAGGCAACATTCTAGCTACCTGACATACTTTATCAGTGTTTTTCAACCTTTTTAAACTCAAAGTACCCTTGGAAAATGCCAGCTCACAGATTTCACTCTCTTTTTGATAGAAAAAACACCATATTTACTCAGCCAAGACAAGCAGATGGCTAGCCTAGGATAAATGTGGACACATGACACCTATACTAGTATAAGTTAAACCAACATATTTTTACTGCTGTTTTTTCCTGGAATAACTCGACATTGGAGTCTACTGTTACGCTGGAATAGAGCTATATTGTATTTACTCAAATCCAAGATGAGGTGGTTTTTTTTCCATTAGGGCCCAGAGCTGAAGCTGGAGCTGAGCCACTGCTTGCCTCAGGCTGGAGTGGTTTGTGTGACAGGGGGCACATGGGGGAGACCATGCAGTGGGGTTGTAGGGCATGGGGGTGATCCGCAATGTGTGGCTCAGAGGGAGTGCAGGGGAAACCACATAGCCTGCCATCCCCACCACTCCCCCCAAGCTTCAGTTCCAGTTCCAGCATCAATCCAGCCAGGCCTGAAACTGCTCTCGCTGCTTCTGGCCTGGCCAGGCTGGGGCCAAGACTTCCCCAGAGCCAGAGCAGACCTCCCACAGAAGAAAGTAAGCAGCAGGGAGGTACAGAGGAACAGGCATGTGGGAAGATGGAGGGTGACCCTTGACAGAGTCAGGAATAGGCAAGGGGAGGTAGGAGCGGGCAGGCACTGGGGACAGCCTTTACTTAGGCATATCCCAAATTTAGATGCATTAATTTTAACAACCTTAATGCTATGCTATAGTTTTTAAATGTAGTTACAGTGAAGTTAATTCCAGGAACAGTTGTGCTATTGAAAACTTAATGGTAAAACACCAAGTAGGAGTTCAGAGAGTGCAGAAATGAAACTTAGTTTGAAGTCTGATTAGTCTTGTTTTCTGTTAGAGATGCTACCCCACTTGTTTTGGCATACCATATTAAGTTATTGATCTTACTGAGATTTAAAGATGTCTAAAATTAATTAGTTTTGTTCTCAATGGGACTTTACACCAACACGCCCATTTTCCTTGAACCACCACAACAAGATTTTACTAAATTCAACACACCATATGGTTCCAAATTTTTCAAGAGCCTCCACAAGATCTGCTTCCACAACTGATTCACAGAGTCCTCGGACATGGACAACAGGAGAAACAGAAACTTTGTGATGACTTCCGCCTGCATCCTACCAAAAGTAAGAAGACATTTTGAGTTGAATGTACAACTAGAAACACAGCTATAGTTAATCAGTCATAATTAATCAGCCTGGCCGCACAGTCTCAAGTCACACTTTAACTTGCTGAATTTTTGCTTAAAGCAAACATGGTAAAAACAGTTGGCCAACCAAGAGTTTAGTTTGCAAGTCTGGGTTCCTGCGTTAACAATAAAAGGCGAGGAGTGGGGATACTAAGATTCAAATCTCCCAACCGGGCCAGGTAAAATGTATTCAGATACAGGTATATTATCTAGTTTTTTCAATTATCATTTCAGTACATTTAAGCCAACTTTTTTGTTTGGGACACAGAATGGAAGAGGATTCGGATAAGTCGTTAGTGAATCAGAACCATCATGGGTCATTTTCATACTGTAGACCAGAGACTTTCAACCTTTTTTCATTTGCGGACCCCTAAAAATTTCAAATGGAGGTGCGGACCCCCTTGAATTGCAAGTGTGGATATTCACATACTTTTGATTGATCATAGTCATCTTTCACAGACCCCTTAGACAGTCTGTAGACCCCCAGGGGCCCATGGAGCACAGGCTGAAAACCTTCAGATCTGTGTGCAGGAGGGGTAGTCTTTACTTTTATATAAAATGTTGTGATTAAAGGCCCTGTGTAGCCCCCTGCCCCCACAGTATTTAATTGCTTTTGAAAGACTGACCATACAATTGGGCACATAATTCCTGCAAAGTTTTTCAAAGCAAATGTTAGAAAAGTTATGACTACCAATTATTTCACAGCACTGCCCACACCAAGGATCATTTATATACCAAATTAGAAAGGAGCACAACATCAATTTAAGTTTCCTTTAAGTGTGACCACCATGATTTTGCATGAATAAATAGTTCAGGTAGAAATTCTTAACCTTTTCAGGCAAGCCTCTGGAGGTAAGGAAAACATGCTAAACTTCAGCCTGAAGACAGGATGAAAGTAAGTTTAAGAAAAAGCAAACAATGGAAGATCAAAAAAAAGACATTAAAAGGAAGCATTAAATATATTGTTGCACGAACAGTTGTTGTGATCAGCACTTTCTACACTGTAGAGCAACGCACCATAAAGTTAACCAATGCAATTTTACCTAGGCTAGTTTTGTTGAAATACAGCTATACAACTAGGACATGATCTTCCTGCAATATAGCAGGCATCTTAACTTTTACTTCAAAGACATTTCAGAGTCAAGTGATTAAATACACAAGAGCTTTTAATTAGCTTCTAGAACTGTCTTTTCAATAGTTAATTAGAGACAGTCCCCTCTCTCTTCCCCATCAACTTTCAGCCCATAAATTCACAGAAACTGACAAGTTTAAAAAACGCATGGGTTTATAGTGGCTTAAATACTTATACGTAGGTATGCACCAGTTGTGTTCTACAAGTTCCTTGGGAAAGCAAGATTTGTAATTTCTCTTTAAACCCACACAGTTCTTCCTTTTGCATCACTGATTTACAAACTTTAAGACAGCTTAGCTGAAAATGAAACATTAAGCATTTATTTGAAATCTTAGTTTTACATTATAGGTACCAGCACAATTAGTTGTAAAACAACTAGTTTTTCAAAGCACATGGTCTTTGAAGAGTGTCATCGTTGGAGAAGATCACCTATAATTTGCTTGAGACAAAGTATTTCCTAAATTAAATAAGTATTTGAGGTCTACTTGGGGATATAGTGATAAAATTAGACGTAGAAATTTTACACTTTGAGCTGCTGACGTTAAAGGTTGCAGAAAGAACTGAACAAAATACATAGTGCTTTCTTTTTACATCTTACTCTGTTCTTCTCTACAGATAATCCTTTCAAAGGTGAAACAAAGCACCTAAAACAGCAACTTAACCCAAAGTAACTGTTAAGAACTAAAAGTCCATTATATTGCCATAATATATTCTTTCCTGATGCTAAGACAATAGGTACTTCCATTTTATTTACAGTTTAATTGAAGCTTTCATTAACTGTTCTTTTAATTTAAACAATCACTGATGTATCTACATGAATATTAGGACCACACACTTCCCAGCACGATGAGACCCCCCCTAAAAACCTTTTTAAATTTTATTTCAAGTGACTTGAATCTCAGAAATTACACTGCCTCCATGTCCAAGACAATAGGATGGCTAGAGAGCAGGCAGGATTTTGTAATAACTGAACTGTAGAGTCTTATGAATAAAAGTTATATTTCCTAATTTTTTCCTCTCAAGCAGAGCAGAAAAAATTAAGTCAGGCTCTTCAGGAGAATGAATCACAATGAAAAACACTTTTTTCCTTCCCCTTTCACCAGTTCTGTTCCCCATCCTTTGCTCATGCTTCCTTGCTACTTGTTTGCTATCTCCTCTGACCACAATGGCCAGCCATTTGGATCCTCCTCTATCCTAGAAATTTGGCCTCATCTCCTGAACCCCAGGATGCTCTTCTGTTGAAAGTTCTAATCCAGCCATGGAGATTAAATCCAGTTTCCTGCTTGTCATTTCCCCACTGGAAGCCTTCCACACGTCTTTGACAAAAAGGCAGGAACTCACAGAATCACAGAAAAGTTAGGGTTGGAAGGACCTCAGGAGGTCACCTAGTTCAACCCCCTGCTCAAAGCAGGACCATCCCCAACTAGATCATCCCAGCCAAAGCTCTGTCTAGCAGGGTTTTGAAAACCCCCAAGGATGGAACTTCCACCATCTCTCTGGGTAACCTGCTCCAGTGTTTTACTACTCTCTTAGTGAGAAAATTCTTCCTAATATCTAACCTAAACATCTCTTGCTGCAACTTAAGACCGTTGTTCCTTGTTCTGTCATCTACCACCACTGAAAATCGCCTAGCTACACCCTCTTTCAAACCCCTTCAGGTAGTTAAAGACTGCCACAACAAATCATACCGCTGATTTACTAGCATTTGTATCTTATTCTGCTCCACAGAAAGGTACATGAAACCCCATAACCTCAATAAGAAAAAAAATGTCTGTCTACAAAGGAAACTTCCTTCCTAAACCACTTCAGGTAACCGTTAGCACCGAGCATATATTTTGAGAACTGGACTTTAATGACTCTACAGTCTTCCAAAAAGGGTTAACCAATGTAGAGATCAAGACCAATTATAAACAGTTCAAATTACTTTCTGAAGAGCTTGGAAATCTGTGAAGTTGGTTAGAAACAAAGAGAACTAATTCTGTGGCATATAGGTCATGTATGGTCACAGTTTAGCAATCATTAATAATCCTCTCCCCATTTCTCAATTATTGTTTCATAAACTGGAGACACAGGAAATGAGTAAAGGAGAATGCCAGAGCTATTTATACACTGAATTGAAGTCTGTTTAGGTTGTAATGCCAAATGTCTAATGGCAAATTTTCAAGAGAAGTGTGCATGTGTTACAGTAGCAATTCCCAAAGGGTGTGCCATGACAGATTAGTGTGCTGTGAAAGATTATATTTTTCTTTCCTTCTTTCTCCTTCTTTTTTTTTTTTTATTTGAAATTGAGGAAAAAAGTGTGCACACAGACAGTACCGTGACAAGGAAGTTTGGCGCCCAGGGCAAAGCCCGCAGCAGCAGCAGCCCGACCTCACCCCATGCACAGATCCAGAGGGCACCCCACCCTGCCATGCTTCCCTGGGAGTGCATGCAGCAGCAGGAGCTGCCCTCCCTCCACCCCCATGGCCCCCCCAAA